ATATATATATATATATATATATATATATATATATTATGGTTTTTTTGAAAATCGTACAATTCGAATGTTAATGATACGATTTTTTAAAATTTACAATTTATTCAACGATTTGAATCGAAACGGATTTAAATCGTAAATTATACAATTTTTATAACCATGAAAGAAAAGTTGACGAACATAATATCAAAAGTGAACATCTCATAAAACATCCATCCAATAATTTAACATATTAATTTTTTTAAGGAATATTACCAATAGTGGATCAAATCTAAGTATCTATGTTTTAAACACTCTTAATGTAAACTAGCTAGCTAATAAACTAGAAAACAAACTTATAAAACTAGCCCATATATTTTATTACGAATCACCAATCAAATCATCATCATCATCAATATATTTTAATTTTATTGATGATCCTACAAAAATAAAATTAGGACTAAGTTATCACATGGGATAAAGCAAATAAGAACATCAAAAGGAAAAAAACAATATGATTGACATACTTTTAATTTTAACGCATAGTCAATTTTGATAACATAATAATATTTCCATGGTCTTTGAATGAAGCTTTATTACTTCAACATGGACTCAATAATCTACCACTAGTACTAAAAGTGGACTACAGAACTACCTTAGATACATGATATCTAGAATATCCCTTGCAATTAATTAATCTCAAAGTTGGATACTTACTCCAAAATGACAGATCGAATACTGAAAATTTATATTATTTTAGCTTCTCTACAGAGTAATTAAGAGAACAATCTGATACTTTTCGCAAAAGAACCTCATAACGAGGTAACACTTTGTTTATTGCCTATATATAATTGCAACTATTTACTTAAACCACATTTGTTCAAATGCCTTTCGTTTACCGGAAAAAAACAAATTGCATTAAAAAAGAAGTAACGAGTATCATGCTTTTTCAATGTAGACTCTTGTGTTCTTTTACATTCCGAAATAGATAGATATTTGTATGTTTAATATGGAAGTAGGAGAACCGGAAAAAATGCGACAAGCTTATGTGTTTCTCTTTATTACTAACATTTTTGTTGCATCATGGTGCTGTAAGTTTTTTCAAGCCACCAAAATTTTGTTGTGGTAATGGAAAAATTAAGCGCGCACCTATTGAAGTTCCAAATGATTTTTTTTGAGCTATTTACTTCACACATGGTATGAAGAAGCAAATGAATTTCAAAATAATATATTTTTTCTTTTTCTTCATGTCAAATTATATAAAAATATTGCATCTTTCAAGACGTAGATGTTGTACTTTTCGAGCACAACAGATGGGATCTCTCGGCCATTGATTATTATAGATGATAATGAGGACATCACACTTTTTTTTTTTTATTGAAGATGTAAATAGTAAAAATCAAAAAAGGTCGTAGACAATTACAACGGGCATACCCGAGGGAATTGAGGCACTAATGGATAGGTACAAGCTATCGAAAAGCATAAAAACCATAAAAAGATCAAATTCATATAAATGAGAAAATATCGGTTGGGGTTAGCCCCCAAGTCCCAGTTGGCGTCAATTTGGCCGATCATGAACCGGCCTCCACTGCTGGTCGTCAGTTCCGGATACTGCATAAACATGGCTGAGTAAACGTGGGTTTGAATTCTGCGAGTAAGGGCGGTTACCGTCATCTCCGTCATGTCAAAACTCCGTTTATTCCGTGCTTCCCAAATGTGATAAACAACACTCACCAAAGCACATCTCCTCGTCTTGCTTCGGTACGATTTGCCCTTGACATCCTTAACGAGCCGCTTCAGGGCAGCCCGCAGCGTAGTTGGTCTTTGAGAGATCCCCAACCATACACGTATGCGGTCCCATACTGCTCTCGAGATGCTACACCGAAAAAATAAGTGCTCACGGTCTTCGTTCCCCGCTCCGCACATCACACAGGTTGTCTCCATAGTCTCGAATTTCGCCACATGTTCAAGTGTTTGCAACCGATCAAGGGCCGCTAACCAGAGAATGAAATAATGCTTGGGGGTCATCGAGTGGTCCCAAATCCGTCGGCCCCATGGCGGCCCCCAGTAGGGGCCCTAATCCAGTCATAGACCCGTCCAACAGTAATCTTCCCCATGCTCGAGAACGTCTCCATTCGAGCAAGAAGCAATGGAATGGACCCTGCCTTGCCCACGATTTCGTCCCGAATGCGGCAAATATTTTTAAAGTACGGGGGTGAAGTCGACGACGGTTGTCATTCCCACACGGCCGTGCCTTTGAGGTAGAACTCGTTAACCCATTGGATCCATAGGGAATCCTTTTTCAGGTGGATGTCCCATAGGTCCTTCCCTAGCAAGCTACGATTCCACGTGCGGAAACACCGAAGCCCCAGCCCCCCATCGGCCTTCGGTTTACACAAATATTCCCAACTCACTTTTGGTTTGGCCGTATCCCACAAGAAATCCCTAGCCATGTCTTCAATGTATCCAATGACCGTAATCGGAATCGAAAAGATCGAAAGCCAGTAGCAACACGTACCTTGAACTACCGCCTTTAAGATCTCCAATCGGCCGGCGTACGATAGCGTATGACCCTTCCAAACTCCGATGGCATGCTCGATTTTGTCCAAAAGAGGTTGGTAATTCAGCACCCGAAGTTTTGACGCAGCGAGTGGAATACCTAAGTATCGAAATGGGAAGGTTCCGGTGGCAAAACGGAATTCCTCCTCAATCGATGTACGGTCGGCCACATGAACTCCGGCAAGGAATAAGTTCGACTTCAGGTTATTCACTAGGAGTCCCGATGCTCGCCCAAACTCAAGCACCGTGGTAGCAAGCGTACGAACGGAAGCTACATCGCCTCTCGAAAAAAGCATCAAATCGTCGGCAAAAATGAGATGCGTCAATTTGTGCACGTGGCACATCGGGTGGAAATTGAGCTCTTGCTCCATCGCTCGAACGTGTAGCAATCTCGAGAGATATTCCATACATATCACGAAGTGGTAAGGTGATAACGGGTCCCCTTGACGAAGTCTTCTCATCCCCGGGAAAAAACCCTTCGTCACTCCATTAACCGACACCGTATAGGAAACCGATGTCACGCATTCCATAATCCATCGAACCACCAAGTCCGGGAACCCTAGCCCCACCAACATCGAACGCAAAAAATCCCAATTTACGGAGTCGCAGGCCTTCCGTAAATCCAACTTGATCATGCACCGGGGAGAGATCCGTTTGCGTTCGTATCCCCTCATAAGTTGCTCCACCATATGTATATTGTCCGTTATAGATCGCCCACTCACGAAAGCAGATTGGGCCCGATCAATAATAGAGGGCAAGACCTTCTCAATTCGCTTCGTAATAACCTTCGCAATCACCTTGTAAATGACGTTACAACATGCAATAGGCCGAAAGTCACCCACCGTTTTGGCGTGGGTTGATTTTGGTATGAAGACCAAGACCGTGTTATCCCATTGTTTAAGCAACTCGCCGCTTCAGAAGAACTCCAAGGCTGCCTCCGTAAGGAGTGGTCCCACGGTTGACCATGCCGCCTTGAAGAAGAGGGCCGTGTACCCATCCGGCCCCCGTGCTTTATCGTCCGCGATGTCAAAAATAGCTTCCCGAATCTCCACCCCCGTCACCGGTTGAATCAGCCCCTCCCGATCCTCCTCACCTAGCATCGGTCCCGTGGCCATAACGTGGGGGTCAGCCGGTTCGCACGTAGTACGAGTGCCCACGAAATTTCGGTAAAAAGTCTCGAAAACTCCAAGTACCTCATCCCTTGAGGTAGTGAACGACCCATCCTCCTTACGAATCGCTACAATATCATTCCGTTTTGCGTTCCGCTCAGCAATCCCATGGAAAAATTTCGTCGTGCGATCCGAATCTCGTAAGTGGTGAAGTTTCACCTTTTGGTAGAAAAAGCTCTTCTCCGCTTTTGCCAAGAAGCGAAATTTCTCCACTTTAGCCAACATCTCCCCACATAGTTGTTGATTATGGGGGTCATTGTGGTAGATTTGCTGAATTTCCTCGAGCTCACCTCCCGCACGTTTCACCCGTTCAGATATATGCCCGAACTCACGCCTATTGAAACGCTGAAGTGGGTGTTTAAGGGCCTTGAGGTTTTTGCACACGGCCCATTGACGGTTGCCCCGGTATCTCGCCGTCCATACCTCCTTAACTTCTCGTTGCAAAATCGTCGTGCTGAGTCCACATGTTGAAGAAACGAAAAGGCCGAGATGCCGGGGGTTCGGTCCCACCCAATCGCACTATAACCGGAGAGTGGTCCGACACCGCCCGAACGGTAGGAATTGTGCCGAACTGCCCTAAAAAATGTCGCGCCACATTTGATTGACAAGCGCACGGTCAAGTTTGCTCCACACTGTATGGTTCGTCCACGTGTATTGAAATCCCGTTCAGGGTAAATCCTTGAGTCCGCTTTGTTGAAAACATGTATGTATATCATTCAACAAGTAAGGGGTGAGCAAGTTACCTCCCGACTTCTCTTCAGGTTTGAGGACCACATTGAAATCGCCCATGCATAGCCACGGCTCAGTGATGTTCGACCCAAACTCCACTAGCGATTGCCACAATGGTCGTCTCGTAACCGGTGTGAAAAGACCATAACCAAAACTAACGTAGCATAGCCGTTGGGTGACCATACACGTTACCTTGCAATGAACCACCTGCGACGTCATATCAACGACTTCCACCCGAGCCAGGTCCGGGTTCCATAAAACGAGGATCCGGCCTGCCGTGTGGAGGTGAAAGTTATTGAGGTTCATCCAAATGCCAGAATCGCCGATTCATGATAGAGCTAAGCGTTCCCGGGTCCCAAATCTTCGTCTCCAATAAGCCACAAATCGAGAGTTTGTGCTTACCAATGAGGTCCACGACCTCCTTCTGCGTGAGGGAGTTAAGCAACCTTCTCACGTTCCAACACCCCACAATCATTTCGTCTTTGGGGGTTTGAGGCCCCCCCGCGGCTCCGCATCATCACGCTCCTCTCGCACAAACTTCGACTCAATCTCCGCCACCGAACTTGATTCACCCTCTTTGGGCAATAGGATCGCATCTGGTGGAAGATACTTCTTCTTGGTTGTGATCCTCGACTTGGGGGCTTTTCCCGGGGATTTTGGCGAGTCTAGGGCATTAAACTCCACCAATGAGCCCCGATCCTCGTTATCCGCTGCGTAGCACTCAGTCGAACCATCCTCCGAAACTCCATCCTTCACATCCTCGGCCTCCACCTCCTTTTTCAGCCCCGGATCCTCCACGAGCACCGTCCTTTTACCGGCCCAGACCGTAGTCACCGGTGGATCTTGTGCAGCACTCACCACCGGTTTTGGCTTCCGGCTTCGTCCTCGCTTCAACACCGCCTCCGCTCGACATTGATCCGTTTTATGCGTAAGGGTCTGACATTTCGAACAAAACACCGGTTCATAGCTATATTCGATTGGGGCCTCGTAGCTCTTGGCTTTCGCATTGATCAGTGTGAGCGATCGTCGTAGGGGTTTCGAGGCGTCCATCTCCACTTGTAGCCGAGCGAACCCTAACCTCCCCATCTCACTCGTAACTTTGTCCATTTGGACCGATTTGCCTATCTTCTGAGCGATCTTACTCAACACCTTTTTGTTGTGGAGTTCCGCAGAGATGTTGCGTATCATCACCCAAACTGGTACGTACATCATGTCGTTGATGTCAAAATTGAAAAATTCCGGCATGGTGCGAATGTAGAGTGTCGCCAAACTATGTTCGAATTTCCCCAACTCCACCACCTTCATCCGATCTTGGTCCGATGTGAATTTGAACACAATCCACCCCGTAGGATGAATTTGAAACTTCACCGGGACCTCCCATTGCGATTTGATTGCACGAATGGCTTCAACTCCGGGGAATTTCCCCGGGAAATATGCCACAGCCAAGAACACACCCTTCGTACCCCAGTCTGTCTCGTCATCTTCATCAAAACGTAGGACGTTCGAGTCATCAAGTCCTTTCACCGAGTCCAAAGCTAGGTCCTCCGGTGGTGGCGGGTTGCGTTTGAAGAATTGAGACCAATTCATTCGTTCGCCATCGCCGGAGTGTAGCCCCATTGTAGATCCACGAATTTCACCTGTCGTTGATGTCTCGGCATGTGGAATCGAGGAGGTTGTCGTTTTTTCGATCGGAGTTGTTGTCGGTTCTGCCACGGCGGGGGCCGAGACCGTGCCTACCCCAACGCCGGCCACTTCTTTCCCTTTCCCGGCCACGGCCGAGATTGTACTTTCCCCCACACCGGCCCCGGCCACGGCCGGTCCTTTTCCCTTGTCTTTTGCACCCACCGCACCTCCTGCCTTCTTCCTAGCCATTGCGGCCGTCAAACCCTAGCCCCTTGTAACACCCTACCCAAACCCTAGCCGTCAAACCCACCTAGCAACCCTAGTCCTCCACACCGGCCGCAAACCCTAGCCGCCGACCCGGTCAAGGAACCCTAGCCCACCAAGGAACCCTAGCCGCCCACACCGGCCGAGATCCCCTAGCCGCCCCCCACCGGCCACCCAACCCTAGCCCCACGGCCCACCAAGCCCACCGAAACCCTAGCCGTCAAGGCTTCGTGGAAACCCTAGCCGTCAAGTTTCACCGGAACCTTAACGGCGCCGTCAACACACCACCGGCAACAATGGCCGACAGCACACCCCCGTCGCGTTTTTGCCGGAAAAAACTCAAAAATCACACCGTAGCCCTCAAAACCGTAGCCAAATCTCACCAAGACCGTAGATCCGGCCACCCTACAAACACACAGATCAATCTCCCGCACAAACCACCAAATCCACGTACAAAGCCTCCAAAATTCGAAGTTTCACCGGATCCCATCACACTTCTAAAGTCATGGGATATGGTTGCTTCTTGTATATTAGTGAAAACACATTTTATTTGACGTTTTTATATTGCACAAAGTATTTGCAATATAATTTCATTGTTTAGATAACTTGGTTTTCGGTTAAATAATTTAAAGTTTATATGTTATGAAAAGGTAAAAGAATAAATTAAAATAAGACAATACATGATAGTACTGATAAGAAAATACATCTTATTTCATTGTCTTCAAACCTATATTTTTAGGTCTCAGTGGAGAAGCTAGTACAGGATCAGGGGGCTATAATAGTTTTAAACAATTTAGTTATATAGATAAAAAAAAAAAAAATTAAAATATGTATCGAAGGTCTTTAAACTTGATGAAATATATCAAAATGGTAAAAGTATTTTATCCAAGTGATATATTTAACCCACATAGTCACGGGAAATTTTCACAAAATGAAAATTGAAAAGTGAAAATTGTAGTTTGTAAGTTGTTACATAGATAATTGCAATTGCAAGTACTTTATATTGTTATATTTTTTAATTAAATGTTATAAATATTTACTTATTATATGCTACTCTTGCTACCAAAATTCTTTAAAAAAAGACCCGTGTGTATGATTCTGGATTTGTCATCAGCGACAACTGAGTAAGTACTTTTAACATTTTATGTTGAATTTTTTATCAAACAAAAAAAAAGTTGTCAACAATTACGTGGAACAATTGTTGTTGACATAAATTTCTACTATAGTCATTTTTATTTTAAGACAAACTGATTCTAGGCTCATAGGCCCGGACTCAATTACACATATGTTCAAACAAAAAATAATTAAAAAATAAAATAAAAAAGCATATCCCTATGTCTTTTTGCCGGTCCCACTTAAAAATGGGTCCCCACTATTTCACATTGATCTCAATTTTAACAAAAAATATTAACACCATTTTCAGAATTTTATGAAAAAAAGAAATTTAAATTTTTTTTCTTTTCCTGAATATATTTTTTTCTGTCCGCTGACCGGAGTTGACTTTTTTTTTTTTGAATTTTTATTTCTGAAATTTTGTTTTTATGAATATTTTACTTTTGGCCGGTCACACATGTTAGATTTTATTTTTGTTGATTTTGTTTTGAAGGCTTTAACTAGATTGCTATCACAGTGCATGACCGTTAGCAACTTGGCATGGCGTATTATCGGCGTGACCATGGATGAAGGCTGGAACGAGAATGCAAATTGGTGATGGTCGTTCCACTTCTATTTGGGCGACTCGTGGTTGTTGGACGACTGGAATTTCAGCATAATTATCTAGACGACCTAATCACAATATTTATGGACTTGGTTTCGTTGAAGTTAGCCACCCAATTAACAAATCAACAATTGACACGTGGCATTTAGCAATATAATTATTCATCTGTTTAATATTGGATAATTTA